CCTCGGCCGTAGCCGCTCGTGTGCACACGCCGATGGGGTAAGAAAGGGTCTCGCCCCTCCCAACGGTCATCAGGTGGGTATAAAGGCCTAGGCCACCCAACCCGGAACTAAACTGTCTCAAACATACCTCTACCATGGTACAGATATTATCTATGATGTGACATCCAGTACATGACCCCCACCTGAAAAACTTGAAATCTTGTATGCAAGTGTGGAAGCTGGAGTAGCGGTCGGAGGCTCGACTCTCCTTAGGATACATAAATATTTAAGCAAAATAATGCTAAGTATAATGCTCAGAGTATTTAATTATATGCGAAAATGCTTGGACTTATCTACGCGATTAAACTGGACTGGACTGGCTCGGAAAAATACTGAAATTTCCGATACTGGACTCGGATCAGAAATCACAAATCAAAACTGACTCGAACCGCCGGTCGAACTGCCCGGTTCGCTGACTGGCCGGACCGCCGGCTCGACTGGGCCGGGCGGTCGGGCTGGGTTCGGCTAGACCGGGCTCGGTCCCGTGCCGGGCCAGCTGGTGCCCGGGCACGGCGCTGGGCACGGCTGGTGCGACCGGGCTCGGTCCCTGGTGCCGCTGGACTTGGCTAGGCGCGGACTGGCGCTGGTGGGCACGGCCAGGGGCTGTTGGCACGGCCCGGGCACGACTGGTGCCCCTCGGGTGCGTGCTGGGCACGGCCGAGGCTCGACTGAGGCGCTGTCGTGCGGCTGGGCACGGACAGGCACTGGCCAGACACTGCTGGCACGGGGAAGGCACGGACAGAGACCACACGGGCGCTGCCGGGTGTCCCCGAGGTCACTGGGCACTCGGGCATGCTGCTGGGGCATGCACCGAGGCCAACTGGGCTCAGCTGGCCCGGCTCGGGTCAGCCCTGGACTTGGCACGAGGCTCTGGCACGAGACCTCGTGCACTGGGGCTTGCACGGGCGCTGCCGGGCGCCGTGCGCATGGCTGGGCACGCTGGGTGCCATGGCCACGCGTGCTGGGGCTACTGGGGCTTATGCTTGGCACACGGGCACGCACTGGGCGCTGCGGGCGCTGTTGCGTGCACGCGGGCTGTGCCTCGCGCCTACCGGGCGCGGGCACTGGCTAAGGCTACCCTCTGCAGGCACGGACAGGCACTGGGGCCGGGCACTACCGCACTACGTGCGCGGCCAGTGACCAAGGCCGGCCCTTGCCGGACCTCCGGCGACTATTTCCGGCAACATGCATGACCATACAACATAATATGATAAAATAAGCACAATTAACATATAAATCACTAGTGGACCCCGGGTCCACTTGCATGTTCACTCGGTAGGGCTTATATGGCCCGTACGAGCACTTGACGTCCGAACCAACATACATAACTTGAAAAACTACTCAGGGCCGAATGTTATACATGTAAATTCATGACTATAGAGGCTAAAACATGTGGCACATATTGCATGCAATGAACTAGGGTTCGGGTCCCCATTTTAACATATTTTCGAGCATGATTTGACCAAGGCAATGAACTCATTTTATTCTCAAATTTTTACAGCATCAATGGTATGATATTTGAGGGTGTTTAAACAAGAAATCTCGACTTAGACATGCTTCCTACTCGAATTTCATTTTTAAGGTCATTTATTTCAAAAATTCGTAACTCACATATAATGACATGCATGGCTCGGTTTTTCTTCATGAAAAATCTTAAAATGTCATAAAATAATTAATGGAATCAAAAATCCCGAGCTTACCTCGGTTAAAAATGGAGAAATCGAGTTAGGGCTCAAACTAGGGCTAGTCGCGGCTTTGGAGGTTAAGCTCACTTTGTGGTGTGATTTGTTCGAGCCAATCAACTCTAAAAGGCTTAGAAAATTCTAAAGAATACTTAGAATATGCTAAGCCTCGAGAGATTATGGCTGGAACACGAGGTGGCTGCCTTCTCTCCTTCCCCGGGGCGCGCGCGCGGGCAGCAGGGCTGGTAGCTTTGCTCTCGGTTTTCTCCTCCCTCCTCACTATTTTTCTCGAGCTCCAATTTGTGTAAGAGCTTAAAATGGACTAAGGGAGGGGTCTTAAATAGGTGTTGAGGGCGGAGCTTACTATGTTGGTCAAGGGAGACCAAAGATCATGAGTTTGCCTCATTTTATGTGCATAGGAACTTGAGGGTGTTGGGGCATCTTTGCATGGAATATTTGGGTGGAATGGCAGGTCCTTTAGTGTATAAAAATGAGGTCAAATGGGGTCTGGTCCCAAGTGCACGAAATAGGGGGGACAAGGGCTGCACAAGTGATTAAAATATTCACTAGCCCACATGCACTACCATTATAATAATCCCCATGTTCATTGTCTTTGCTTAAACATTTCTTAGGGCAACTTAAGCTTAATTAGACCCTCATTAGGTCCTAATTACACGCCTGAGTTGGGCCATGAGGAAAGTGGGCCGAAAAATGGTGTTTTGGGCCTTGGAAGCTGGACTGGTCGCGCTGGGCGCTGGGCCTGGGCGCTGGGCCCTGGGCGCGGGGACGCGGGCTGGGCGCGAGGGCGCGGCTGGGCTGCGCGGGAAATGGTGCTGCTCGGGGAAAATGACTTTGGGCTGAGTTGCAAGGGTTGGGAAAGGCTTCCAACACTTAGAAAATTTTAGGGAACTTATGCCAAGGCTTAGGACAAGCCTTGGGCTCGGTAGGCACGTGCTTGGCACGGCACGAGGCGCGGGCGCGGGGCTCGGCACGGGCGGCTCGGGTGAGCACTAGGGCTCAATATAAAATGTCCAAAGCTCGACTTTGGTATTCTAACACACTTAGAAAAATATTCTATGTATTAAAATATCAACTCTCAATTTTTTTGACTTAGGAAAATATACTCGGAACGACAACTAGGGTTCGTGTCCGGTAATTTCTCGAATTGACTTGCTATTATTTAATAACCCAAATTAATGGATTAACCTTAACTTATACTTGAGATAGAATTATTCAAAGAATAATTTATCATGTTTGAGCATTTAGCATAAATAATATAACTCGATAATTTCTGAAAATTACGGATTTCACTTATAGTCGAGCAGTGAAACCGTTCTGAATATTATTACTGTTTTGGGGCGTTACAGTTATTGAATGTGTATTGTGAAGTATGTGAATATGCCATGTTAATTATGTGTTCACTACGATTTAATATCATAATTGCAAATTGGATATTAAAGTGATTGCCGTCACTTTGAATTATTGACGAACAGAATATTATGTGGTTCGTTTCATGGAAATCCTGGAGTTATAGGTACTTGGAGTTGTCCTTGATTTATTAGTTTTGGTTTGAGGTCATTTCTAAACCGAGCATGCTGTTGAACCGTAATAAATTCACCATAAATAGAGTTGTTAGCCGTTTGAGCTGAATTTTTTATATGTTGTGTCTCTGAGTATGTCGAATATGTATGCCAAGCCCCTGATTTTATTTTTGAGTTTTGGAGTTCAAATGGTTGAAACGGTTTATGGACAGAAACTTGTAAAATTCATTACAAATCGTACACTTAGAGTTTTGAGCTGAAACTTTCAGGAATCTGTGATTTTGGGATGTTTTTCAGATTAAAATTCGAAGTGTAGCTATGCGAACTGTTAAACGCTGATTTTGGCGTTGTTTCTACTTTAATTATTTAAAAATTCTCCCTGTTGAATTTAGGGCTGAAACTTGGTGAGTTTATGTGTTTATGCATGTTTTATAATGTGGTAAAGTATCAGGTTGATTGGCTGAGCCTAACTCCTGATTCTGAATTTAGTTCATTTTGGAGTCTAAAGGATCGGTTATCAGTTGTTTAGGTTAGGATTTGATTTTGTTGATGTTGGCATGACTTATGTGTATTATTTGATGAATTTGAGTCATGTCTAGGTCTGGTAATAACTCCATAGTGCCTTAACTCGGTTAAGGAATCCACGAGTCACTTGTCAATATGATTTCGACTAAGTATATGTGCCTTATGTGTTGTTTTGTACTAGGCAGTCAGTGATAGGTCCTTATAAATTGTTGTAGGTCCTTTGAACTGAACGCGTGCCGTAATTCCTTCAACTTTGTATTTGGCTATACCTCTTGCTATCCAGGTAGGTTTTATTTGAAAGTTTCTATGCAATTAATTGTGATTGTTGTGGTATGATTAAAGTATGCATGTGAACCATGTAGCCTTCGATGTGAGCCATACTGGCCATCGAACGTTTATCCCCGTAGCTATAGAACGTACCCGATGGGGTGTCTCCTTTATTTATGTATGGCAGTCAGGGCGTGAGCCTTGGTTGGTGATCCTCGATGTAAGTCCGAAGGGATGTTTCCGGGCATTCGGGGTGGATTTACTCCTACTAGTTGGGCATCGATTGTAAGACCCGCGGGGCATTTCGATACGTGTATCAGCAGTGGTCTATTGGTATAGGTTTGCACATGAGAGTTGACCCTGGGAAGGAGATGGGATATTAATTGATTTGTATTCATACTGCGACCATACCTGCCTTATTTTATGAAATTGAACATTAATTATTTCATAGTGGTGAGCTCCTCGATTTTTCTATTGTGCTCATCCCCACCTGCTCTTCATTGATGCAGGTTAGTAATTGCGGGCACGACAGAGGGAAGCGAGTGGTGGTCATGTTATCACTTATTTTCGCTGCTTAAATTGCGTATTATGAATTATGCATTCCTCACTTATGTTGAATACTTGATTATCGATAGGGAGTGTACTCCCTAGTATTTATGGATTTGATGAACCCGATTTGGGTGTTGACTATTTATGATTATTGAACCCGGTTGGGTGTTGACTATTCATGAATTTTGAACTCGTTGGGAATTTCATATGTGATATTATTGGAATTGTATTTGGAAAATGAGTAGTGCCTCAAGTGTTTTTAAATAAATTTTGAAAAATTTATTCTGAATTTCGGCAAATAAAAGTGGGGCGTTACATTATGAGTATTATGGAGAAGAGGTCACTGAAAGATATGGCTTTGACAAAGATAGATTTGGTTATTTTGATTTATTACAAGAAGTTCAGAAATTAGTGTACACTAAAGGAGAGAAACTGTATTATAGGGCTTACAACAGTAGAAAGTATGTTCACATGCACAATGATGAGGGTGTCAAGGAAATGCTTTCTAAGATGGAATTTGGCAAGCATTATGTGCAAGTATATGTTGATTCTGGTTCCACAAATGAATGTAGAGGTGATAATAAGCAAAAAGGCATAGTAGATGTGCAACAGGAGTTGATGATAATGTTTGTGAGGATAGCACAGATGAGGAGTATATTGTAGAAGAAGAAAGTTCTGAATCAGATGGTCTCAGTTTAGATGAAATAGAAAGTTGTGAATTAGATGCACTTGGTCGACTCAGTGGAGAAGAATTGGACCAGCTTATTGATAATTTTCATGAGGACAGCACAGATGGGGAGTATATTCCAGAAGAAGAAAGTTCTGAATCAGATGGACTGAGTGGAGACGAATTAGGAACTGATGATGAAGAATACTTTGAAGCAAGGAGAAAAAGAGTTGCATCCTAAAAAGTTGCAGATGAAGAAATTGAAAACTAGGTTTCATCACTTAGCACTCTCTAGCCAAACCTTATGGAGCTTGCAAGGGATCATCTGATATGGGTGAAGGACCTAATGAATGACAGTGGCTACAGCTGGAATGAATGGCTAATATCTCAAGTTTTCTATGTTGAAGAAAGCCAAAAAATTCTCAGGATATCATCTCTGAATCCATCAAAAGAAGATAATATGTTTTGGGGTTTGGAAAAAAAGGATTCTTTTCAGTGGCTTCAACATACTCTTTCCTCATTGATAAAAAGGTGTTAGCAATGGACTTACCTCAATCCAGCAACAATCAACAGCTTATAAAATGAGCCAGAGTCGGAACTTGGCAACTGAAAGCCCAAACCAAACTGAAACACTTCATTTGGAAGTGTTGTTCCAATACTCTTCCTGTGAAGGCTAATTTGCTGAAAAAAGGGATCAACATTGACCATGTTTGTGCAGTCTGTGGTGAGGGGACTGAAACTATTAGTCACATGTTCTTACATTGTTCTAATGCAAAAAGTTTTTGGGAAATGAATCTACTTCAATGGGACGGCCTTGATACAAGTTCTCCAAAGTTCTGTGATTGGTGGTGGCAGGTGTGTTCTATAGGCAACTCAGATATAGCAGAAACGCGCATTCAACTGACAACGTACTCACTTTGGTGGCTATGGAAGTCAAGAAACCTATGAATATTTGAAGATAAATGTTTGCCGCCACAAGTTGTTATTATGGCGGTCACCAGGGATTGGTTGGAATTTAACTCTTTGATCTCCTAGTCCTTCTAGTTTGTTGTTTGGCTGATTTTATGGTTTTTTTTCTTTTTCTTTTTTTTTTTGTAAAAGAGCTGAATCCAAAAAAGTTGCAGATGAAGAAATTGAAAATTTCACTTTATCTTCTGAAAAGGGGTGTGGTTCCACAAATGAAAGTGGCTTCCAGTCTCTGAGGGAAGATCATTCTGATTATGCATACTCAGCAGAAGAGTTTTATTCTAATTCTTCAAGCTCAGGAGGGTTTAGTGAAGATGATGATGTCAGTCATAGAAAGAAAAAGACATATGATAATGTATAATGCCAAGGTTGACCATAAGCAATTTTGAGTCAGTCACTCAAATTAGGCATGCTATTCAAGAGTATTCCCTATATAATGGTCACAATATTCAGATATGAAGACAAACTCATAATTAGATTGAGGCAAAGTGTATAGAGTCATGCCCTTGGAAGTTGTATTCTAGCACTATAAAGGTAGAAGGGAGAGTAGCCATCAAAACATTAATTTCAGATCACAAGTGCTCTAGGGACATGAGAACCAGGCAAGCATCTGCAAAATGGATTGCAAAGGAATGCATTTAGGCATTCAAGAGAAAACCAAAAATGAAGATTAGAGACCTTGAAGAGATGATACTTGAGAAGTATGTTGTGCAACCATCCAAGTGGAAGCTGTACAGAGGCAGGTACAAAGCACTACAAATGTTGAGAGGCACAGAAGAGGAGCATTACTCATGTCTGAGGAGTTATGTTGCTGAGCTACTCAGAGTTGATAGAGAGGTTCGATTTGAATTTCTACTTGATGTAGGAAATATGTTCAAGGGCTTTTTTATGGGATTTAGTTCATTAAAAAAGGGGTTTTTAAGTGGGTGCAGACCAATAGTTGGTTTAGATGGAGCTTTCTTGAAGACTGTGATTGGAGGGTGTTTGTTGACTGCTGTGGGGAAAGATGCAACAAACCAGATTTATCCCATTGCATGGGCAGTAGTGGATTCTGAAAATGAGGCAAATTGGTACTGGTTCTTGAATATTTTGTTTGAAGAGTTTGGAATCAGGGATGGACCGGGTTTGACCTTCATTAGTGACCAGCAAAAGGTAACTAAACTACTTAATATAATACATAAATTATATTTTCCCTTCCTGAAATACTTTGTGTACAATGTTATATAACTTTTACCTTGTTCAATTGGATTGTAGGGACTGATTAATGTAGTAAAGGAGTTGGGACCATTGGCAGAGCATAGAAGTTGGGCTAGACACATTTATATGAACTGGAAGAAAGCACACAAGGGCCAAACACTGAAAAACATCTTCTGGAGGATTGTCCATTGCACATTTCTTGTTGCACATAAGGAATCACTGAAGGAGATGAAAGTTGAGTGTCCAGAAGCACACAACAAGTTCATTGAGAATGACAATTTTAGAATTTGTAAGGCCTTAATTTCAGAACATCCTAAATGTGACATGGTGCTAAATAATGTATGTGAGGCCTTCAATAGCACCATTGTTAGGGCTAGGAAAAAGCCTATTGTTGAAATGCTTGAAATGATAAGAACTTATGTGATGGAAACACAAGTTGATAAACTGAACATGGGAAGTGGTCTCACTGATACAATTTGACCTAGGATCAGGAAAAAACTAAAGGAAACCAAGTACAAAAGTAGGTTGTGTGTCACCAAACCTGCTCTAGGAATCAAATACTAGGTCACTTGTTTTGAAGACCAATTTGTTGTTGATTTGGGAGATAGGAGTTGCACATGTAGGCAATGGGACATAAGTGGTATACCGTGTGTCCATGCATGCTCAGCTATGCACTAGTTGAAAAAGGATGCTACATATTTTGTATCTCATGTATATAGTTGTGAAAGACTCATTGCATCATACTCATTCCCCATGGAGCCCCTTAATGGGAAGAGGATGTGGCCAGAGGCTTCAGGGAATCCTATCAAGCCCCCACCATTCAAGAGAATGCCAGGTAGGCCCAAGATCAGTAGGAAAAAAGCACATGAACAAGAGGCTAAGACAAGCACAAGGATGAGAGGTTTGGCTTGCAAATGACATGCCAAACATGTTTCCAAGTTGGCCACAACAAGAAGACTTGCACCAATGACCCCACTCCAAAAACTGCTAAGGTATATTTTGTTTTTAGGCATTATATGCTTTTATAGTATCTGAATTTGTGAACAAACCTGTCAATTTAGAGACCTAGAGGTAGACCAAGGATCATGAGAGAAAGCACAGAGGTAGGTGGAAGTGAATCTATTGCTAAGATAACAGTTAAAGTTTTTTTTTTTTTTTTTTTTTAAAGTTTTTTTTTTTTGTTTGACATTATATGTTTTAAAATTTCTGGAATTTTTACAAACTTATAAATTTTAGAGGCCTAGAGGTAGACCAAAGAACATGAGAGAATGCACAGGGGAAAAGGAACAATCTGGTGTAACTTCCCATGCCCTTGTAGCTAGGAAAATGAAAGCATTGGTACTTTGATACATACCAATCTCATTAATTGTCTTTAAAATTTTCTATTGTCTGAAACTTTTTGATATATATGTTTGAAATTTCAATGACAGGTGCTTAGACAAAATAGAGTTCAAAAGGAATCTCAAAACATGGAATTGGAAGTTGTGGAAGCTATAGGAACTCAAGAAAGTTTTGCCAAAAAGTGACAGAAAATGTTTGTTGTGGACATGTGGTTGTGAACAAGTTCATGTGTTTCTTTTGTAGTGAAAAGGTTGTGTTGATTGATGTGTTTGTGGACATGTTGATGTGAAAAAATTAATGGGTTTAAGTTTAAGTTTTTGTAAACATATGGATGTGAACAAATTCATGGTTGTGGTATTTCTGTTTTGTCAAAATTGGCATAGATATGTATTGTTTGAGGACATGTGCTTGTGGTTGTGGATGTTCAGACATTATGTTTGTATTTTGGCCTAGTTTTGCAACATAATGGATCAAAATTGCTTCATATTGATATTGTTTGTGTATGTTGTTATGTTTGATTGTATTATGGGATGGTCTTGTTCTATATGCTATTACATATAATGCTTATTCAAGAAATGAGATCATTGAACAAGGATAGGTCAATTGCATCGAAGGAAGTGAAAAGCCTAAATTGCCTTTCTCAAATTAGAAAGCAAACTGCCCAATATGTGCTTCCAAATGAGAAATTCAGAAAGCATGAGCGAGTTAGTCCAATCTGAGGGCTTAAACAAATCTTTTTTGTCGATAACCTCAGACCAATCAATCGAATATGTTTTAATACCTAATCCAAAAGTATAGGGATAGGATCCTATAGGATCTCCCCCCCCCCCCCCCAAATCGGACGTGAAAGTTTCCTTTTGTGGACATGTTGATGTGAAAAAATTAATGGGTTTAAGTTTAAGTTTTTGTAAACATATGGATGTGAACAAATTCATGGTTGTGGTATTTCTGTTTTGTCAAAATTGGCATAGATATGTATTGTTTGAGGACATGTGCTTGTGGTTGTGGATGTTCAGACATTATGTTTGTATTTTGGCCTAGTTTTGCAACATAATGCATCAAAATTGCTTCATATTGATATTGTTTGTGTATGTTGTTATGTTTGATTGTATTATGGGATGGTCTTGTTCTATATGCTATTACATATAATGCTTATTCAAGAAATGAGATCATTGAACAAGGATAGATCAATTGCATCGAACGAAGTGAAAAGCCTAAATTGCCTTTCTCAAATTAGAAAGCAAACTGCCCAATATGTGCTTCCAAATGAGAAATTCAGAAAGCATGAGCGAGTTAGTCCAATCTGAGGGCTTAAACAAATCTTTTTTGTCGATAACCTCATACCAATCAATCGAATATGTTTTAATACCTAATCCAAAAGTATAGGGATATGAACAACTTAGAACCGGGTCTTCTTTTTGCACTATTACCTTCTTCGTGATTTAGTGCTATGGTGAAAAAACAAAACAAAAAAAAAAAAGAGGGCCGTCTGAGGAAAAGTGTATGAAATGATAAATGATTCTTCTTTCCTTCACTTTGGATGTATAATGGATCATGATGTTTTTATTCAAGAAGTAATGTTCATTGAACAATCAAATTCATGTTCATTGAACAACCATAAACTTGCTCATTGCAAACAGAACCTTGTTCTTTGGTACAAACAAACACTACATACACCAGCTTTGTCTAGCTAAGCATACAAAGCTACAAAAACAACAACAAAGATAGCTAAAGATTACCATCTTCTCATCAACATTGAGCAACATATGAAAACAAACATAATATCCTTGTTCAAAGCTACCTAAGCATTAACTTCTTCTCATTAGACACACCAAAGAACCACATGGCTAACAAAAACATAGTGACTAAAATCAGCAACTTCTTCTCAATTTTTTCCTCTGATACATGGTTGCAATTTTATTCTGAAAATCAGCATTTTCCATTTTCAACAGATCCAACTCATTGGCTTTCACTTCTAATCTTTCAGACAAAAGTTTCTCCATCACCATTTTGCATTTCAATTGTTCCTCCAACACTTGAACTTGACCTTTCAACTTCAAATAACTAGCTTTCTGGAAGGGTGGGAGCTCGGGATCAAACCAACTAAAATATTTACAATCACCATTTGTAATGTATATTAAATTAGCATATTAAAAATCGATACAAAATGAAATGAAACTTCAAAATTCTATAAAAAAAAACATATAGGTGCATTATATTAACTTCAACAGAAATACAAGCTTTACAAGTTGCTTGAATGTGCAATGAACAGTAAGATATCTAGCTTTTATCTCCTAGCTTTCATCTCCTACATAAGATGTCTAAATACAAGCTAACTAAATTTTGTTCATCACTAAGACCCCCATTCTTGTCTGATTTCCAACATAAAACACACAAAACCTCCATCCTTATGTGAATCCTCAGAAAATACAAGCTACAAACATCACACATCCTCTTTTCTATTAATTTTTTTCATCACTAAGAAGATCCTCATTCAGTTTGCTGGGTATTTTGTAAAATTTATTTATTTATTTTTTTCTGTTCAAGCCACAATAGATAATGTAGCTACATCAGTACATGTAACGCCCCCTTTTATTTTAAAGAATTTACCGAATTTATTTAATAAAAATCAGAGTTATTTTTTTTTAAATCCAAATTAAAACATTTATCGAGAAACGGGCGCTACTTATTAACCACAACAAATAAACACACTCAATCAAACAATCCAATGAACCTACACATGCTCGAGCTAAGAAAATGACAATCTCATAAATCATAAATTTCAAAATCATTCCCGAACGACTAGCATGAAAT